AAATCACGATCACAAAATACGATTAAAATTTTACCTCGAAAGGCAACGTGTCTCGCGTATACACCAATAATACATAATTCGTGGTAACGATCGATCGAACATCCATCTATCGGAACAATATCTATCGATGGTAGATATGTATTTCAAGAAAGCAAGCTTGTTCCAAAGGTTTGCAATATCATTGACTTGTGTATTCACTTGTGCGTTCACAGAAGTATACATTTACCTCCTATTGCTTCTTTGTATTCATATCGGTTACGTTCTTGACTCTAGCGGGTTCTTTAAGCTCTTAAGATTCTAAGCATTGACCTAAGAATATTCTACAAGGGAAAGAGGCGCTTATATCGAATCAACTTTCCTTCTTTCTTTCTTTCTTTCTTTCTTTCTTTCTTTCTTTCTGGGTAGGAAAAATCTGCTCGAGGTTCAAGCAGAATGACGAACTCCTTCCTCGGGCTATGAGACGATATAATTTACGACATGACCCTTGACAAGTGATTTGCAGACATCTCGTAACGAGACCATGAATGGTCTCTACGGTAATCGCATTCTGTTGTTTCGTGTCTTCCTTCGGGCACGTCTTCTTTTCCCTCGTGAAAAACACGTTTCTGTTTATTTTTCACAATGTAGCATTGCTCTTCTATGCGATTTCGTTGGTAAGTAACGAGAGAAAGACGATCGAAATCGAATCGAATTGAATTCTCAAAGTGAAAGGAGAAGAAGAAATTTAATTCGATTACGTGTTGTGTAATAAATTTAATTATTTGTTTCTATCAAAGAAAAATTTCTTGACTGTTGATCATTCACTTTTGATTAAACTTTAAGAATATGATTTTTGAAAAAATATTTGAATTTGAAAATTGGAAATGTATTTTAGGAATTATATATTCTTTTTTCTTTTTATGATAAATTCTGTGATACAAGTTATTTTTTAATATATTTAAAGTGAGTATACAAAAATTTCGTTTATTAAATTATGAACAATCAAAGTTAGATAAAGCGAGACAGATCCGAACGAATTAATAGTGTGACAAAGATAGAAGGATAGGTCTTATCCTACCTGTATCTCGCTTCATCTAACAAACAAATCTTAATCGTTTAACTTAATAAATCTCAATCGATACTTTTGCGTTTGTTTTGAACTTTAGAATCAATTCTTTAAATGTATCACACGAATGTATTCATATTTTACATAAAGTAGTATTAATATAATGTCGCAGAGTTACCGTAGTAACGAATCGAAAATAATATAAATAATTAATTGTGTCGAATGATTGTATCAATTTTCTTTTTCTTTCATTAATGAAAATGTAATTTCAATGATACAATTTTTATACAATTCTGAAATTTTACCTTTCATGAATTCCTCGGTAGTATAGTGGTTAGTATCCCCGCCTGTCACGCGGGAGACCGGGGTTCGATTCCCCGCCGGGGAGAAATTATTTTTCTACAAAAAATCTATTTTTTTTAACCATTTACATTTTATATATCGACACAGATCGATTATTAATATTATATTAATATTAATTAAATTTAGGAAAAAAAAATAAATTACAATAACCATTCTTTAATAATAAAAATCCGTACCTAATTAAAATACGACTGTTATCCTTTAACCTTAATAATCATACGAATAGAAAATTTCCATTCCATTTCCATTTTTCTCGCACGAATCAGACAAAAATCCAATTATCCATCGCAATTAATTCTCAAACGCGACTCGTTTCACGTTTAAAGATCTATAAATATCTACAAAATCAACGCAATCGAATCATCGTTCTCTCGTCATCGAGCATCGTGATACCGTGCCATCGTTCCTGCGCTAATTATCCAAACAATCAGCGAAATCCCGATGCGCCGCTAATAGTGGCAAGACAAATCGGCAACAATCACGAAACGATACCTCACGATTGTCCGGAATCCTTCTTCCCATCCTCGTCCCGTCACGAAAAATCGCGGTCTCGTTAAGAAACAATTTCGCGCCGAAACGGTCAAAAAATCCTCTCACGTGTCGCTAATGGCAGGCTAAGAGAGAAAAATATTGAATTTTCCTCGAGACAATGGAGGATTTTGGTGGCAAAAACGGGCGGCGCGTGACCAAAACGGGCGGAAATAAATTCGCCGACGTCCGCCGCCGCTTCATTTCCATATCCACGAGAGAAATATTTTTGTTTCGCGAGATATCGTTTAAGAGAAAAACTTACGTACGGCTGGTGGTTACGGGTGGTTAGAAAATTATGAAAATATTCCCCTGGCCCCTGTACGAAGTGAATTCCTCGTAATTATCAGAGTTGAATGCTTCGCGTGTTTCGACCGAGAATAAATAGATATTCGTATAATTTACGTTCCAGCGTAACGAAATCGGTAATAATATTATCTGTATAAAACTGAAAGGTATTTTAAATACGAGTATATTAATTCGGTGAGATACGAACGGTATATATATGTATATATATGGATCTTTTCGAAAGGAGAATTCGTATAACGCGTAGAAACTTAAAATGCGTATGCGGTGTAGAAGATTAATCTTACCTACTGTCGGGGAAAAGTATAATGCGAAAAGTGTAAACTCGTTCTCCTTGTTTAACGAGTTTGTGCAAATTTCTCGATAATATCTATCTTAATTTGATATTTCAATTCCGTAAGGATTTATCTCGATCCCTTGAAATATAATGTTCTTATCTTTCGGCATAAATATTTATATGCCTCTTGGCTAGAAGCACACACATAAATCATCGAATACGGATTGAATGTTATCGAAAGGGAAACTTGATTGATAAATCAACCGGGTATTTAAACAGTACTTAACTTACACATAACACTTACATTAACGCTTACATGGCAATTATTGAACAAACTTGCTCCGTAAACAGAAGAATCGAACAAGTTTATTATCGTTCAGGAACAAAAGATAACACCAGAAATATATGATCTAAATCCTCTCTGAAAAATATTCTTCGATTAATTTCCAGGCAGATATTTCAACATGAAAAAAAATATGTATCACTATTTTTTCGACCTTATGTCATATTCGTAAATAAAAAAAAAAGTTTCTTAGCATAGAAAATTTTTTTCGTTAATAATTCTTTTCCCCTGAATTCGTAGAAAACTCGTCACGATCTCGCTCGACGTAATACCGATTCCATGAAAATTCGACGCCTATGCATGTTTGCTCGACCTCTAAGGGAAGGCATGTGGCAGGTGGCCGTGCGATAGTTTGCATATTCATCGGTTTCTCCCTTATCGGTCCCATATTATCACAGCGTGCTTAATTGACTTCAGATTCCCTCATTAGCACTAATGGGTTAATTCCAAAACTGTTCCACCGTGAGGCGGCGACTAACCGCGGACAAGTACTCGGTCGCGCCCCCTACAACAACGTGAGATTCGTTTTTTAGAGAATCTCGACTCGAGGAAATTAAATAATTCGTTCAAGTTATCAAAATGTATTTACAATCGATGGTCTTTGAAATTCGAGTCATTATTGGATACATTTTCTTTTTTCTTGCGATCTATTTTATGCGCGTATTTGTTTTCATATCTTTTGCTCTTTTGTCGAAGACTTTAATCAAAAATTGATAAATAATTAATTTTTTTTTTATTTCACGTTGAATTACGATATTCTATAGACTAAAGAAATCTTGTTTTCAAAGTCGAATGTTAAATTTTGATTTTCTTTTTTTTTTTATGAGAAAATTTAATCAATTTAACTGATGTTATTTTGTTCCACGTTATCATAGTACGATAGTCTAAAGAATGATTTTTATTCAGATTCAATTCTATTAATTTTTTTTTCGATTTTCTTTCTTTTTCGACTGTTTTTGAAACGTTATACGTGCAACGAATCGAGGCAAAGAGTATCATGAGAGCGTTAAATTATCATAAGTAATCTTAACGCAATTTTTCAAAGTCGTATCAGCCGCGAGGAAGACTAATAAAAAAAAAAAAGAAAAGAAAAAAAAAGAGGGAAGCAACAAACAATATACGGTACACGGTTCGCATGTTTCGTGACAATGTGTCATAAGAGAATTGCAAACATACGTAACCACGTATAGCTCTCAGTGATACAACCACGTGTAATAATTGTGTATAATATAAAGAGCACAGAATCGTGTAACAACGTGCGCAATGCAGCATATCGATTTAATGAAAACCGGCCGTCGTATCGAACGCATAAAGCATAAGTGTCGTTGCACCAAACGGCCGAGTATTTCAATACAATTTTGCAAATCGCGAGAATGAAGATGTGCGATAAACAATTTCTATTTTTCCTTTTTTTTATATTAACTTCATCCTTCTCGAATCTCGCTCCCTTCATTATCAAATTTAATTCGATCCAATAAACGAAGAGTATTTTTACTTGCAAGTTTTCGTTTTTAAATTCAGTGATTTTCCACATATTTTCTATACAGGTTGACGCACACAGTCGTGAATCATCAATTTTGAAATGAAAAAAGATAAAAAAAAAAAAGAATTTCGCATTCGATGTTCCTTCAAATCGTTGTCCATTTTACGACGATTTTTCTCTAGAAATTTTTCTTCGATTTTCGATGCCACGTCGCGTTGTAACAATCCAGAAAAAATTTCGAATAATCAAACAATTTAGAAGCTATCAAACTTTGGACGAAATCTATCTTCGTTTCGAGGAAAGTTTGCATGGAAAAAGAAAAAAAAAAAAAAAAGTGAGGAAAGAAGAAGATACGGGCGAAAAGCATCAATAATCATCGATTCTTTCTACTTTGCTGACTGTAGACACCTGAGGGTGCACTCTCGTGTTTGTTTTCAAACCGTTACAACGATTATCGATGGAGAGTGATGGACGATGAACAATCATACGATCGCAATTGTATCGGCGCGAGGAGGGGGTGAGACCCGAACGGTTGGAAAGTTTGCAACTATACAGCGATTAGAGCATACATCTAGTGACAGACTTTCGCCGTCCTACGCGTCTCTGGACTTCGTAATCGAGGATGTAATTTAAACTACTTACTTGCCCAGACTAGAACAATTTGTTGGTAAGTCGGACGTTCTGACCACTCGTTGGAAAATCATCGGGCGTTTAATGAAATCATGTCCCTCCCCTATCTCTGCACGACTCCTATACAATTTTTAACTCGAACAAAAAAAAAAAACAAAATTAACCGTGGATTTTTCTTTTAATTTAATTTAATTCGATAATGAAAAGAATAGAAAGAGAAATTCCCTTCGATACCGAATTAAAAATTTTTTTCCCAATTTTTTCGTTTGTCGATTACATAATTAAATTTTAAGTATTTTCAAAGATAATTATATATATTAAAAATCAAATTACTTTTTTATATAGTACATACCCGATACAATTCTCGTTTAGATCGTCAGAACGAGAAATAAAAAAACAAAAAAAAAAAAAAAAAAAAAAAAGAAGAAAGATGAAAAAAAACGAAGTAAACCCCGAAGGGGTTAAAAGTTAGGAGAGGAAGGGCGAAGTTTAGGGGAGGGAGGGTACGATAGAAAGGAAGAGAGAAGGCCGACGGTAACTTAACTCGATGCCCCGATATCCGATCCTCCCTATAAAAATGCACACGCCACTCACGTCTATGTAAACAAACGGACATCGAATGGTCGAGTGACTCTCTTTTTCCGGTTAGCTACACCTATTAGCTCTCTCTCTTTCCCTCTCTCTCTCTTTCTCTCTCCCCCGCCCTCTCCCCCTTCTCTCTCTCTAGTATGTAGATCGTATAGCAGTCATTGCAGTTCCTGCAACAGGCCAGCCCAACCAGGTAAAGGTACTCCTCCGATTCGCGAAACGCGACTCTTTCTCGCGTTGGAACTCGAGTCGTTCGGTGAACCTAAACTGTTCTCTTCTCTTCTCTTCTCTTCTCTTCTCTTCTCTTCTCTGCTAAAGCCCGTTGCACGCTGCATTTTATGTTACACCTGCTATGCGTTTCACCGCTCGTCTCCTCTCTCTCTCCTCTCTCTCTCTCTCTTTTTAATGCCTAGCCGGGGTTTGGCTCAATTTGCTCTTCAACGAGAGATACAACTCGTTCACGATATTGTCGTAATTCGCGTTACAACACGATGTTTAATCGAAAGTAATACTTCAACACTGCGACATTCGAGCATTTAAAAATTGAAAGATAAATATAAAAGCGAATAAAGTTTATTCGTGGAAATCATCGAACGTGTTTCGTTGAAATGTCCAGGCATTGAAATCACCGGCAGGGAACGATATGTTGTTTTCCTCAAATGTATATATTATGCAATAAGCTGTACGACTATAATTAATATTCCTAGAGCGGCAGGCTAGAAAGAACTAGATGGAAAGCATATAGATTCGAGGGAGAGGAAAGAAAAGGAAAAAAAAAAAAAAAGAAGAAGAAAGGTTGCGGA